AGATCATTCTGCTAAATAGATATAGTATTAAACTGATTCATGACTTGCTATACCCATAGGTTAATGCATCTCCCAACTCTCACCAGAGATGCTTCCTTATGCAGCAGACAATAATTAACACAGAGCTCCACCACCAGCCAATGTGGAGAGAATAAGAGGCTGCAGAGTGCTTGAATAGAACACCTGTTATCAGACTTCTGCCTCCAAGGTTCAGGGATCCTTGCGGAAGAGGGGGCAGAAATATTTAAGAGCCAGAGGTGGTGGATGATCACAAGGAAACAGCATTTGTTAGACACCTGGGCAATCACTCATATGAACTCACAGCAATTGTGACAGTATACACAAATCCCATGTAAACTCAAGCCAGACAAAATCCCAGCATAAACGTGGGGAAGTGGGTAAGAAATCCCAATACTAACCGAGTATTGGCAAGTGATGGCTGCTGGGAGAGGGAGAGTCAATCTCATTTAAGGGTGAGATCAGGCTCTAGTGGATGGGCCTACACTGTAGGGGACACAAATTTGACTCTGTAGGCATATATATATATTCATATATATACATGAGTACATGAAATTAGAAGAGGGGTGCAGATAGCAGAGGGGATCTAAATATGAAAAAATAATGAAACACACAAAAATTCAATTAAAAAAATAAAAAATAAATTCCCATGGAGAAAACCTCCCACAGCCACTGGTCTGGAATGTACCCAGCTGTCACTGTCTTGAGACTGAAAATGGAAATGTTCTAAATATCAGACCAAAGACTTGTCTGGCATGGTGGCTCACGCCTTTAATCCCAGCACTCTCTAGGCAGAAGCAGGCAGATCTCTGTGAGTTCAAGGCCAGCCTGGTCTACATAGTGAGTTCCAGGACAGCTGAGGCTACAGCTGAGGGAGACACTGTCTCAAAAAAAGACGGGAAAAAAAAAAGGTTTAAGACAACCAAAGGACTTTTGGACCCTGAATTTGATTCTAGAAGAGGGAAGAAAACAGCATTAAAGGGTATTTTGGAAGTTGAATGCAGTGGCCTAAGCCTGTGATCCTAGCACAGAGGCTGATGCAGGAGGATCCTGAATTTGAGGCTAGCCTGGACTACATAGAGCTTGTGGCCAGCCTGAACTACACAAACAGACCCCCATCTCAAATTAAAATAGCTGGGTGTGGTGGCGCATGCTTTTTTTTTTAATTTATTATTTTTATTTTATGTGTACGAGTGTATTGCCTGCATGCATGTGAGTGCACCTGTGTTGTGCAATGCCATGGAGATCAGAAGGGGGCTTCGGATTCCCCTGGAACTGGAGTTAAGGAGGGTTCATAGCTGCCATGTGGGTGCTGGGAATCGAACCCGGACCCTCTGCAAGAGCAGTCAGTGCTCTTAACTGCTGAGCCATCTCTCCAGCCCCCAGTGGCGCATGCTTTTAATTAAAGTACTCAGGAGGTAGAGGCAGGGGGATCTCTGAGTTCGAGGTCAGCCTAGTCTACACAGCAAGTTCTAGGCCTACTAGGTACATAGACCCTGTCTCAAAAATGAAGTAATAAAAATAAAGATAAAAAAATAAAAAAGGGTATTTTGAAGCAACTGCAGAAATTTTAGTATAGATTTTGTATTATTTGATAAAAGTATATCAATATTAAGTGTCCTGGGAGTTATGATTATGCTAGTTATTACAGGCAATGGTCTTCTCTAGGATACAAACTAATGCATTTAGTGAAATGTTATGGTGCTCACAACTCATTTTCAAAATAAGGGCCTGAGAGATAACTCAGCGGGCAAAGGCCCTTGCTGACAAGCCTGGCAACCTTTATTCAATCCCTAAGACTCATGTAGTGGAAAGAGGAAACTGACTCTCCAAGTTGTCTTTTTTTTTTTTTTTTAATATTTTATTATTTTATTTTATGTGTATGCGTGTATTGCCTGCATGTAGGTTAAGTGCACCCATGTTGTGCAATGCCCGCGGAGGACACAAGAGGCTGTTAGATTCCCTGGAACTGGAGTTACCGACAGTTGTTAACTGCCATGTGGGTACTAGGATTCGAACTTGGGTCTTCTGCAAGAACAGTGTTCTTAACCACTGAACCATCTCTCCAGCCCCCAAGTTGTCTTTTGACTGCCACACACATGCTGTAGCATGTGGGTACCTACAGACAGACAGACACACACATAAACACACATGCATAAATAAGTAAATAAAATATAATTTAAAACATTAAAAACTAGTACCAGAGAGATGCTCAGCAGATAAGGACACTCACTGGCCACCAAGCCAAAGGCTGAATTTGCTCCCTAGGAGAGAATGGAGAGAATATACTCCTGAAATCTGTCCTTTGACTGAGTGCCCCACCACCAAAATAAATAAATATAATTTTAAATAAAAAGATTTCCAAAGTTAAAAAAAAAATTAGGATGAACTGGGAGTGGTGGCACATGCCTTTAATTCCAGCACTTGAGAGGCAGAAACAGGCAGATCTCTGTGAATCTGAGGCCAGCCTGGTCTTCATAGTGAGTTCCAGATGAGCTGGGGCTACAGGGAGACCTCCTTTTTGTAGTCTCAAAAAGACAAAAAACAAAACAAAACGAAAAAACTATTTTTATTTTATGTGTATGAGGGTTTTGTTTGCATGTGTAAAAGTGAACCATGTGCATGCCTGGTGCTCAAGGAGTCCTTAGGAGAGTTTAAAAAAAAAATTTTTTTTTTTTTTGGAGACAGGGTCTCCCTGTAGCCCCAGCTGTCCTGGAACTCACTATGTAGACCAGGCTGGCCTTGAACTCACAAAGATCTGCCTGCCTCTGCCTCCCAAGTGCTGGGATTAAAGGCATATGCCACCACGCCTGGCTATTAATTAGAAATTTTTTAAAAAGTAATTTTAGGGGGTTGCAGAGATGGCGCAGTGGTTAAGAACACTGGTTGTTTTTGCAGAAGACCCAGGTTTGAATCCCAGCACCCACATGGCAGCTACCAACTGTCCATAACTCCAGTTCCAGGGGATCCAACAGCCTTTTCTGTCCTTTGCGGGCATTGCATGACATGGGTGCACTTACCTACATGCAGACAATACATGCATATACATTAAAAAGAAAAAAACCCTCAAAAAATAAAATAAAAAATAAAAAGTAATTTTTTTTATGTATGTATGAGTGTATTGCCTGCATGTGTGTCAGTGTACCTGTTTTGTGCAATGCCCACGGAGGTCAGATGAAGGTGTCAGATTCCCCTGGAACTGGAGCTACAGATGGTTGTTAGCTACCATGTGGGTGCTGAGAATTGAATCTGGGTCCAGAAGAAGAAAAAGAAAGAATAGGGCTAGGGGTGTAGTTCAATAACAGAGTGTTTGATTAGCTCATGTGAGGTCATGGGTTCAATGACCAGCACCAGAAAACACAAAATATATGTGTATACATAGGGCTGGAGAGATGACACAGTGGTTAAGAGCACTGGTTGTTCTTCCAGAGACCCGGGGTTCAATTCCCACCACCCACATGGCAGCTAACAACCACTGTAATGCCAGTTTTAGAGGATCTGTCGCCTTTTTCTGGCCTCCATGGGCATTGCACGCATAGGTGCACTCATACACATGCAGGTAATACACTCATACACATAAAACACAAACAAACAAAAAAAAAGCGGGCAAAACCCTCTAAATAAATACCTAAATAAGTAAATAAAATTAAAAAATATATATATATAGGAAAAAATCCATGGGGAGGGAGTAGGGGAGGTGAGAAAGAGGCTGTGAGAGTAAAGGCTGACAGTGTTGACTGACAAAATCGGAAGAAAACTGTTACTTGTTAAATCTAGTGCATAAATAATTTTATTAAACCGCATTTCTATCTTTTCATCATATTTACATTTTTCCAATAAAAAGGTTTGGGGAGGAGCTGGAGAGAGGTGGCTCAGTGGTTAAGAGCACTGGCTGCTCTTGCACCCACATGGTGGCTAACAACTGTCTGTAACTTCATTTCCAGGAGATCTAACACCCTCTTCTGTCCTCCTTGGGCATTGCACGATATAGGTGCACTTCGACACATGCTGGCGATAAAAAAAGTTTTGCCATGCATGGTGGTGCATGCCTTTAATCCCAGCACTCAGGAGGCAGAGACAGGCAGATCTCTGTGAGTTCCAGGCCAGCCTGGTCTAATAGTGAGTTCCAGGCTCACTGGGGCTACAGGGAGATCCTGTCTCAATAAGACAAAAAAAAGGTTGGGCGGGGAGATGGCTCAATGGATCAAGCACCCAAGTAAAAGAACCCAAGTAAAAGCTAGTTGCAGTAGTGTGGATGTGGAAACCCAGTGCTCTCAGGTGGGAAATGGAGACAGGAAACTGCCTGGAAGCTTAAGGGCCAACTATCCTTGCAGTGGTAAGCTACAGGAAAGCCTGCCTCAAACAGGGTGGAAGGCAGGGATTGACACCTCAGGTTTCCTGACTGCCACACACAAAACTGCTCACATACACATCCAGAAATACACACAGATACATATAAAAATTCTTTAACATTTTTATTTATTCTTTAATTTTTTTCTTTATAAATGTATCAAATTTATCTCAATATTTAGTTTCTTTTTTTTTTATTAGGACTATCAGACAATTAGTGTAACTTAAAATTTGTTACTAGAGGTGCAGAAAACATTAATAGGCAATTACACACTTCAGTGGATAGTCACGTGTTTAGAAAAGCCATATTTAATAGGCAAAAAGTCATTTATACCACTGAGAAATCCTTTTGCTCTGTACTTCTAATTGCCATGTTATACAGTTCCTGAAATCACTATGCTCATCAAAATTCTTCAAAAAATTTGAAGCTTTAAGAGTTATGAAGTATGACTTTATAAATGTGAAATTTTATTATTTGTTTTGAACTTGTATGAATAAAAATTAACAGAACATCACTACCATATTCGTTAAAAACAAAAGTAGTATTTATATAATCAGCACATTATCTGATAAGACATTTGATTACTTCATTATTCTAGTTTGCATAAAAAACCGATTCCGAAGCATTAATATCACTTGGCATCTTCACTGCAATCTTTAGATGATGTTACTTTTCCTAACTCCTTTAAGAAAATGACAGCTTTCAGAAGTACAAAAATTATGGTGCCCAGTAAGTGGTGTTCTACAGGGTCACAATAATGAGAATGTTTTATAAAATTAGGTAAAAATGCAGACTGTCTTCAGAATTACTAGTTGTCTCTAAGGCTAAAGTAAGAAAAATGCAAGTAGACATAATATTTCTTTTGAGAAAGTCAGAAATGCTTTATTTCAAGAATTAAGCAATAATGATTTTTTTTTTTTTTTTTTTTTTTTTGAGACAGGGTCTTTCTGTAGTCCTAGCTGGCCTGGAACTCACTATGTAGACCAGGCTGGCCTTGAGCTCACAGAGATCCACCTGCCTCTGCCTCCCAAGTGCTGGGATTAAAGGCGTGTGCCATCACGCCCAGCCGCCGAAATAATGATTTTTAAATTGTGATTAATATTCTCTCTCTCTCTTTTTGGTCTTTTTGAGACAGGGTCTCCCTGTTGCCCCATCTGGCCTGGAAACTGTATCTCTCTCTCTCTCTCTCTCTCTCTCTCTCTCTCTCTCTCTCTCTGTCTTTTTGAATCAGGGTCTCCCTGTAGCCCCAGCTGTCCTGGAACTCACCAGGCTGTCCTTGAACTCCCAGAGATTCACCTAGCTCTGCCTCCCAAGTGCTGGGATTAAAGGTGTGCACCACCACACCTGGCTCTTCAATCTTTTTTAGTGGTTTAAGTTTTGCAATATTTTCTTGATGCTTTTGTTTCTTCTGCTCTTTCTCCCTGGCTTCAATCATCTTGGCCAATTTCCAGGACAGAAGACCACTAGCTAGGAACAGTGGCGTGAGAACCAAAACAATGGTGGTAAGGAAGCCACACCGGTCCTTGGCAGCCCATTCCACAGCATTCTCAGCCCAAGCCTTTATGTCCAGCATCTCTTTCAGTCAGGTAGCGATCTCCTATTTTTTCCTGGGATTATCAGTGAGTCAATCACAATTTCAGATGACCCTTGACTGTTCTATCATACACTTCACAGGGGTTTAAATGCTCACCAGGCCGGAAGCTTTTTTTTCGAAACAAGATTTCCCTGTAGCTCCATCTGGCCTGGAACTTGCAATGTAGACCAGGTTGGCCTCCATCTCATGGCCTGCTTCTGCCTCCAGAGTGTTGGGACTAATGGTGTGCACCACCACACTGGGCTATTCTTTGAGAATGTATTCATTTGCTTAATGTATTAAAAAAAACTTACCCTTGTTTTAATTAAAAATTTATTATTTTTATTATTTTATTTTTTAGAATATATTATTTTTATTTTATGTGTATGTGTGTATTGCCTGCATGTAGGTAAGTGCACCCATGTTGTGCAATGTCTTTGGAGGACAGAAGAGGCTGTTGGATCCCCTGGAACTGGATTACAGATAGTTGTTAGCTGCCATGTGGGCTGGGATTTGAACCCAGGTCTTCTGCAAGAACAGCCAGTGTTCGTAACTGCTGAGTCATCTCTCCAGCCCCCTATTTGTTTTAATTTTTATGTGTATGAGTGTTATGCCTGCATGTGCGTAAGTGTACCCATCTTGTGTAGTGCCCTGGGATAACAGAAGAGGGTATAAAATCCCCTGGAACTGGAATTATGGATGGTTCTTAGCCACCATGTGGGTGCTGGAATTCAAACCCAGATCTTCTGCAAGAACAACCAGTGCTCTTAACTGCTGAGC